AGCGGCTCGGTGGGAGTTTTCGGGGAGAGCGATGGTTGTGAGTGTGTGTGGGTCTGTGTGTGTGTGAGTGTGAGTGTGTCTGTGTGTGTGTGAGTGTGTGTGGGTCTGTGTGTGTGTGTCTCCCTAACTTACCTGTCTGCACTGGCGTCTGTCAGTCTGACCCTTAGATGCTCTCTCGCGCTCCTTTTTTCTCTCTCTCTCTCTCTCTCTCTTTCTCTCTCTAACTGATCAAAAAAATCAGAGCAAACGAGAGGGGTCGTGGAAACTTTTGAGTCGCGGAGCAGCAGTGATGCGGTTCTTGAGCGCTGTTCGGCTAAAGGAAACATGTGAAAGCCAAGCGATAAACCGGGGTCTGTGGTCACAGCAACTCACCTGCTGTCTGTCTGTCTGTCTGTCTGCACATTATTTCCTTTGCACTGCCAGTGACCCAGTTTCCCCGAAGGGTGGGGGGGGGGGGTGTAGGCGGTTGGGGAGGAAGTGGGGGTGAGTGGGGGTGGAGGAGAGGCTGATCCGTCCTCCCGTTGCCCCGAAACACCGATTAAATGTGCCGATTATTCTCTGAGTGAGAGGTCTCATTTTGCAGATCTCATCCCTACTACGGAACCACTAATTAGTCCTCACTCCCTCTGCTTCCCCCCACACACCGCCCCCACCCCCCCCCACACCCCCTCCATCCCTGGTTAAACACTCAGTCCGTCATATACTTTCCAACCACCTCCCACTTCCCACCCGCCAACACCGTCACATGTTGGTGATCAGCTCAGAGAGACACATGGAAACCCATCGCTGTGCTGAAGAGCCTCCGAAACAGACTGAGAATTACACAAACATCCACTCCCGGAGCCACGAAGGGTCCACAGTGTCCCGGGACACTCACTGCCGATGGCAGCACAGCCCGGCCCGGCCCGGCTCATCATCAGGACCCGGAAGGGCCGACCAGTCGCTGGGGGCCGGGAATCCTCCCCCTCAGCTCCTGTTAACCCCACAGCCAAAGCACTAACTAACTAACTAATTAACTAACGGGGAGGGTGGTCCTCGCTGGACAAGCAGCGGGAAAGCTTGGCCAGACTGTGATATCAATGGCGAGCCGTGTGGATTTGGCTCACAGGGTTAACAGGAGTTGAGTGGGATGACTCCTCGCTCTGTTCTGTTGCCTTTACAAGAGATTGTTGGAAAAGAGACGCGAGTTTCTCTCTCTCTTTCCCGGATTCCTGGCCGACAATTCCCACAGGTAAAATCGCTCTCTCTCTCTTGCTTCACAGCTGTTTCTGGGGCGTGGGGGGGGGGGGGGGGGAGGGGAGAGGGCGGAGTGAAGAGCGCTGGGCTGCGGAAAAATTGGCTGCCCGCAAGAGAAAAAAAACACAGTCACTACACTTGAACTTGACCCGCGATTCCCTGCGCTGCTGGAAGCAATAACGTGGAGATCAAAGGTTTTGATCAGTGAGACAGAACGACACAAAGACAACGTGTAAATTGGCAACGAGCGAAGGGGAAGATCACTCGCGTCCCATTCTCCTGGTCAAACCCTCCCACCGCAGAAAAATTACCCCACCCCCAACCTCCTCCCCTTCAAGCCTCCAAGGGGGGGGTGGGGTGGAACAGGGAATTTTGTTGTTTATATTTGAAGCAAATTTTCCCCCCTTCCCTCTACCCCACTCCCCCCCCCCCCACACACACACGTACCCTGCCCCTCCGCCCCGCAACAGTCATGGAATGAATCAGAGGCTTTATCCGGGGAGGGAGGGAGGGACGGAGGGAGGGAGGGGGGAGATTGTCGGCCAGGACACCGAGAGAGAGAGGGAGAGAGAGGGAGAGAGCGAGAAAGAGAGAGAAAAAAAAACTCCCTTCTCTTTTCGCAGTGATCTTTAACATCGACCTGAACAACGCACAGAACGGGAGTGAGGTTTAGGCTCTCAACCGGAGGACAGTGTCTCCGACAACTCACTGCACTCCCGCCACCCCCCCCCCCACCCCACCCACCCGCGCCAGCTTAGAAATCTCCAATGTGTGCGAGTGTGAGGGGGGAAGGGGAGGGGGAAAGGGGGAATCCCTCCACCGCCCCCACCTCCTCCCCTGAGCCCAACTCTGGTGGGGCTCTGTAATAATAATCGGTCTTTGATCTTGACCTTACCTCTCCCCGAGCTCTTGCCAAGTTCGTTCCAAACAGTGACGCTTTGACGTCGAGTGACCAATTCTTGGCTGGGTTGCTCCCCAGCAGAGCTCCAGGATGCTCCAGGAGGACACTCACTGCACGGATATCACAGGCGTGTGCATGGGAGGCTCTCCGTGTGGATCAGGGAGGAGCAGGCTGGGCCCCCGAGCTCGTGAGGAACGTGCGGGGCAGGTTGTGGCTCTGTACGGGACGGCAGAACTTGGCGAGGCTGAAGGGAAACCCGCCTACGTTGCGTCCGTTGACTCTCGCACCCTCCCGGTGTCTCATGAGCTCCTCACGGTGCGACTGGGAGCCTTGGGATTACACGGCCAAATCCTGGATTCTATCTGGAACGTGTACTCCAGCCCCAAACTCCGTGTGAGGGTCATCAGTGGACTCATTCACTGAGCCCATTCCCCTGGAAAGTGGGGTGAGGGGGGTAAGGCTACCCATCGTCACCCACCCTGTTCGATGTGTTCATCAATGACGTGTTGGGTGGCATCGAGGGGGAAGGACTTGATGTAACCTGTTCCAGGTCTCTCTCTGACTGGATTACAGCTACTGTTTGCAGATGATATAATAATAATCTTCGCATTTGAACCGAGACGTCTCAAAGCGCTTCACAGGATACGCTGTAAAGTGTAGTGACTGCGTATTTTGTGGGCGAATCACGGCAGCCCATTGCGCACGGCAGTGTCCCCACAAACAGCCGTGAGTTGAAGCAACCACATAATTATTATTATTTTGTTTTGGAAGGGATTATTTCGTGGTGCGGATGATGTCGTGCTGCTGGAGGCCTCACGTGTGGACCTTCTGCCCTGGCCCCGGGCACCTCGAACACTGGGCCAACCGGTGGGACATGGTGGTGGGCGCCCCCTAGTGGGGAATCCTGGTGCTGCCCGGGGACCAAGGGAAGAGATCGATGGAATTTGATCGGAAGATACGAGGGGGAGTCGGGTCCCAATCGCTGACTCTTATCGGTCACTCGAGGTCACGGTGGACACCTGGACACTGTCCTGAGGGATCGCAGGGGGCTGAGCAGGAGCAACGGTCACTCTGGTCAGGTTCATCTCTCTTCCAAGGACAAGGTCCCCTTGGCAGGTCAAGCTCGAGGCATAAAAATAATAATAATAATCCTGGTATTTGACACAGCGCCTTATCACGTCTTCGAGACGTCTCAAAGCGCTTCACAGGATATACTGCAAAGTGCCGCGACTGTGTATTTTGTGGGCGAAACGCGGCAGCCGATTGCGCACAGCAGCGTCCCCACAAACAGCCGTGGGTTGAAGCGACCAAATTATTATTATTATTTCTTTTGAAGGGATCATTACCCCCGGAAAAGTGATCCGCCAATCCACTGACAACCGGGTTCCTACTCACTGCCGGTAAGCAGAGGCACGTGTGTGATGAAAGGAAACTCGTCCCAACATTTTGCTCTGCCAGCGTACAAGACCTGCGTACAAACTGTCCTCCTTTATGGATCTGAGCTCCTGTGGATGCAGTGGAGAGGCTTTCTCCGACCCGGCTGCAAAGTGCAGGACAAGCGGTGAGGTGGGTTTGCGGCAGAAAATGACCGCAGGGAGAGAGGGAGGGAGGGAGGGAGGAGAGAGAGGAGGGCTCCGGCCTAGGTTGACCTGTGGCCGAGGACCCTGGAGATGGAGTTGGCTTCGCTGCCGGCACATCCATTTGCCGAGGCTTCTCACACGAGGCCCTGGACCGAGCAGCCGATTCAAGGCTGAAGCCTGACCTTCCGCAGTAAGCTCCACCCTGGTTTAACGTGTCACTTTCTCTTGATCACGTCTTCGTGCTGTCAATATCCCGACCGCATTTATTTATTGATGTATTTACACATCCAACTGGGAACGGAACCAGGAGTTAACCGTTCACCGTTACCGCTTTTGGTGTTTACTGTATGTTCACTCCTCTCCCCACTCCCCACTTTTTTCAGGTCGCGCCTGAAGAAGTTTCCTATTTGACCGTCCTTCCGGTCACCTCCCCACCCCATCCCCTCCACTCCTCTCCTCCCCTCCCCTCCCAGCACCAGGCTCCGCCACCGTCAATCGCTCCGAGACACTGCCTCCCCGTGCGAAGGGCGCTGTGTAAATAAATGCAAGTTGTCCTTTAATATGCGACACAATAAACCCCGGTCTCGCCCCCTCTCTGCTGTTTCTCAGGGTGAAAAAAAAACGACCTGCTCCCGGCTCCGGCAAAGCTGGGTCAGGGCCACGGCACGCGAGCGGTGTTTTGGTTTCTGCGCCTGTTAGTTACGCTGTAAAAATCAGCTTCACGTCACGCGCTGCCCGGCGTCTCAACCACAAGCTCCGAGCAACATCTGTGGCCCGGATGTGGGTCTGCAACACCAAGGAGAAGCGCTGCGACCATTCCATACTGTGTCCAGAGCAAACGGGGAGGAGCAATAATAATGTGTCTGGACACCAATCTTCACATGAAAAACAATAATCATAATCATCATAATAATAATAATCCTTGCATTTGATAAGAGCGCCTCATCACGTCGTCGAGACAACAACTTGCATTTACCCTCGTGCAGTGGTGGGGGTTGGGGGTGTGGGGGGGAGTGTTCCAGAGTTTCGGGAAGTTTAGTGGCTGAAAGCGCGGCCACTGATGGCGGAACGGAGGGCACGAGGGACGGGAAGGGGGCCGGGGCCGGTCGAGCGGAGGCAGGGGAGTTGTCGTTGCTGTTTACCGACAGTTGGAGGCGTCCGACCACAACCACCTTCTCGTTGCTCCGGGGCAATTTCCTGCTTTATTTTAATTCTCACCGTTTACAAAAGTATTTACAGTATTTACAGCGACTTTCCACCACCGGCCCGGCCCGAAAACAGGAGCTCAGGGAGCAACAGCTCAGTGTGCAGACAGGCAGCTTGGACTTCTCTTTACCTGAAGCAGGTCAGAGCTCTCTCTCTCTATCGCTCTCTCTCTCTCGCTCGCTCTCTCTCTCTCTCTCTCTCAGGAAGGTAGGAGGTTTGAGGAAATCCTTGCGATCTTTCGAGGTCTCTTCCACAACCCGTTAAAAAAAACACGAAAACCCTTTTTTTCCTTCTCGAAGGCTTGCCAGACACACGTCCCTGAGCTCCGAGGGTCAGCGAGTTCATTCCCATCTCTTCAGTCACCGCAGCCCTGTCAGAGGTGGGAAAAATGAGAACCTGGAATTTAAGAGACACGGAAAGAGAGAGAGAGAGAGAGAGGGTTTGGGAGGCAGAATCTCAGACTGCAAAAAAGCACCAACAGGGGACGAGGTGTGTGATGTTGACGCAGAATTGACAGGGGAATTGAGATAATAATGATAATAATAATCCTTACATTTGATACAGCCCGATCACGTCTTTGAGACGTTTCAAAGCGCTTCACAGGATACACTGTAAAGTGAATTGACTGTGTGTTTTGTGGGTGAAACGCGGCAGCCAATTGCGCACAGCAGCGTCCCCGCAAACAGTCGTGGATTGGAACCCTGTTATAACCCCCATTAGACAGTCCGTACACCCGCGGTTTACAAATCGCTCGTAGCAAGGTTGTAAGTGATTGTTGGAGAGATATCGTGAGGGGTAAAGGGATTAAAAGACCGTCCCTGATCCAATAAAAAGATGGAGTCCTGAAGCTCAGTGGTTAGAGCCTTCGCCTCGCAACCGAGAGGACCCAGATTCGATTCCCGGGCGGAGCGAAACGTTGGTTAAGTTTCCTTACTCCGCGCGCCTGTTTACCAGCAGTAAATAGGAACCCGGTTGTTAGTCGATTGGTGGATCGCTTTTCCAGGGGATAATAATCCCTTCAAAAAAATTTGGTCACTCAATCTACGACTGTTCGTGGGGGCGCTGCTGTGCACAATTGGCTGCCGTGTTTCGTCCACAAAAATACACAGTTAATTCAATTTACAATATATTCTGAGACGTCTAGATGTTGTCTCAAATGATCTTTTTTCATCCAGAAAATTCCTATGTTGTTGTGTTACAAAAGCAGGAGAGAGGCGTGTTTTTCGAAGCCCCACCATCACCTCTCTGCCCCCACCCTCTGAAACTCCATCCCCCGCTCCCCTCGCCTCGCCCGCCTCCTTCAAGGCCCATCTCAAGACCCTCCTCTTCGTCTGAGCCTTCGGCCACCTTCCTACCCCCACCCTCCCTGCCCTGCACAGCCCTCAGCCACTACGCCCCAAAGCTCTGGAACCGTCTCCCTCAATCCCTCCGTCTCGCCCCCTCCCTCCCCACCTAAAGACCTTCCCTTTTGATTGGGCTTACGGTCACCTCCCCCCTCCCTCCCCCCCAGGCTCGGGGCGGATGCTATATAGAGGCAATCTGTTGTTGATAATCCAGCTCAGGTGCAAATCCCTGACTGAGCAGAGCTTTGGGACCCGATGCGAAAGTCGCTGTGTAGATGTAAGGTGGTGGTGTTACTTTTGGGGCTGCTGTGGACGTCCCCGTCGGCTTCCGGAACCTTCCAGTCCAGCTTGCGGCCCTTCTCGTACATGCCCTTGAGCACCCGGCGGAACTCGTCCGGGTCAGTGCCGTTCTTGCTCAGCCCCAGGTATTTACGGTACAACTGCAGCGCTGTGCGGGCGTCCTCTATACTGTCGTGGGTCTCACTCTGAATCTTCAGCTCTGTGGGTTATATACACACATACACGTTACATATACACACATACAGACGTTAACATATACACACATACACACGTTACATATACACACATACATGTTACATACACGTCACATACACTCATACACGTCACATACATACAAATACAAACGTTACATATATATACATACAAATGTTACATATACACACATACAATCGTTACATATACACACATACACATTACATACATACAAACACAAACATTACATATATACACATACACGTTACATATATACATATACAAACGTTACATATACACATACAAACATAGCATATATACACACATACAAGCATTTCACATATACACGTACAAACATTACATATATACATATATACACACGTTACATATATACACATACATGCGTTACATATATACACGTACACACGTTACATACATACACATACACGTTATTTATGCACATACACACGTTATATACACATACACGCGTTACATACATACACATACACATTACATACACACACACGTTACATAACACACATACACACGCTATATACATAATAGTAATAATCCTTGCATTTCATATAGCGCCTCATCACGTCTGCGAGACGTCTCAAAACGCTTCATAGGACACAGTGTAAAGTGAATTGACTGTATATTTTGTGGCCGAAACGCGGCAGCCAATTGCGCAGAGCAGCGTCCCCACAAACAGCTGTGGATTGAGCGACTGATTTATTATTATTCATTTATTTTGAAGGAATTGTTACCCCCGGAAAAGTGATCCGCTAATCCGACTGACAACCGGGTTCCAACTGACTGCTGGAAAACAGAGGCGTGTGCGTGGAGCGAGGAAACTTGCCCAACATTTCTCCACGCCCAGGAATAGAACTCGGTTGTTTGTTGTTCACGTCACACGGCTGTTTATGGGGATGTCGCAGCACTCGGAATTGGCTGGTGTGCTCGCCCACCAAACACACAGTCACTACGCTTTACACTTTACTGTACTTGGCCCAGAAAACACATAGTGAGTCTATCTTACAGTATAACCCGTGAAGCGCTTTGAGACGTCTCAACAACATGATAAGGCGCTGCATCGAATGCGAGGATTATTATTATTTACGGTAAAATCCCGTACGGTGCTTTGAGACATCCCGACAGTGTGATAAGCCGCTGTTATCAAATACAAGGATGAATTATTATCGTTATTATTATTATTATTATTAAGTAACTGCAGTGAATATCCATTAGGCAAATGGTCTGGGCTGCTGGGGGGGGGGGGAAGGGGTTACGACCCTCACAGTTTGTATTTTAAGGGGTGAGAAAAAAATCAAACGAACGATAAAACGAAACGAACCAAGAAAATACCAGGCCAGGAACCGCAGCGAAATCATCCTCTTGCGAGGAATGTGGAACAGATACACGGTGTCAATCACCTGCTCCTTGGGAACCTGGGGAGCAGAGGTGGTCAGGTTAGACAACCTGTGGACTTCACGGCAGCATTCTGTGGATCACTTTTCACACTCACTCACACACACACACACTCGCACAACCACTCACACACACATACTTGCACAAGCAACCACTCTCACACACACACACTCGCACAAGCAACCACTCAGACACACACTCGCACAAGCAGCCACTCACACACACACTCGCACAAGCAACCACTCACACACACACACTCACACAAGCAACCACTCTCACACACACACACACTCGCACAAGCAACCACTCACACACACTCGCACAAGCAACCACTCACACACACACACACTCGCACAAGCAACCACTCACACTCTCGCGCACACCCGCACAGAGCAAAGAGCAATGTTCTGCTTCATATCAACTTCCAGCGCTGAGGCTATTTGACCCCTCCACCATCTCTCCCCTTCCCCAAGTCCCCCCCCACCCCCCTCCCCCCGCAGCGGTAATCAAACCCAGTTCCTCTTGCTTGCGAGGCGAGGGCTCGAACCACTGAGCTATGGGACACCAGAAGCCCCTGGGAGACAGACCCACCATCAGGTTGATGACTCTGAAATCTTTCTGGAGCCCGTGGCCCACAAAGCGTACGCCCACATCGATGAGGAATCGCAGCTTGAGGTAGGTGGACTTGAGGGTGGTCAGGTGTTTGGAGGAGATCTTAGCGTCCAGGTCTCCAGGCTTGATCCCCGAATACTGGGTTAGATAATCCACCACCTGGTTTGGGGAGAAAAGCAATAATAATAATAACAATCCTTGTATTTGATACAGCGCCTTATCACTTCTTCGAGACGTTTCAAAGCGCTTCACAGGATACACTGCCAAGTGAAGTGACTGTGCGCTTTCGTGAGTGAAACGCGGCTGACAATTGCGCACAGCAGCGTCCCCACAAACAGTCGTGGAGAAAGTGACCCCAATTTTATTTGGGGGGCGGGTGGGAGAGAGAAACTCCCTTCTCTTTTCAGATATCTCCGCGGGATCTTTAACGTCCACCAGACAGGAGCTCGGTTTAATGTCTCATGCGAAGGTACAGCACCTCCCACAAAGCAACGATCCCCCATTCCATTGGAGGATCATCCAGACTGTGTGATTCTAAGTCCCTGACGTGGGGGCTTGAACCCGCAACTTTCTGACCCAGAGGCCAGAACGAGAGAGAGAGGGAGAGAGAGGGGGAGAGAGAGGGGGAGAGATGGAGATAGAGAGGGAGAGAGAGGGGAAGAGAGAGAGAGAGAGGAAGGGAGGGAGAGAGAGAGCGCTACCACTGAGCCAGGAAGGCTGAAGCGATCCGAGACACTACTCCGCACGCTGGGAACTACACACAACACATGTTGTTGTTCTGTCGGTGCCTGGGCTGGGTGGGGAGGGGTGGGGTGGGAGGGGGGGTGTGTGTGTGTGGGCATCACACCTCAGGAAGGATATATTGGCTCTGGAGGGGGTGCAGCGCGGGGTCACCAGAATGATACCAGGGCTTGAAGGGTTAAATTACGAGGACAGGTTGCATTAACCTGGTCTGTATTCCCTTGAGTTCAGGAGGTTGAGGGTTGATCTGATTATTATTATTATTATTATAATCCTTGCATTTGATACAGCGCTTTTCAAGTCGTTGAGACGTCTCAAAACGCTTCACAGGATACACTGTAAAGTGAAGTGACTGTATATTTGTGGGCAAAACGTGGAGCCAATTGCGCACAGCAGTGTCCCACAAACAGCCGTGGATTGAAGCGACCAATTTATTATTGTGTTATTTTCCTCGAGGGATTATCATCATCATTATTATTAGTAATAATATATTATTAGTAAAAATTCACATTGACAAAGAGGGGAAAATAAAACCCACTGGATTTTTTTTTACACAGTGAGTCATATGATTATGGAGCCAACAGTTCCACTATTGGCACAATTATTCGGATTTATTCATGTAGTGTAGTGCCACTAAGTGTTTCAATTCGAAACAGCAGTCTTAGCAATGCTATTGCATTATACGGAAAAAGATTTCTTCCCTGTAACCTGGCAATAGTTCTCTTCAATTCAATCAAACATGTAACTGATTTGTTAAGCACTGTCCCTGAGGACGCACACATATTTGAATCCTTTTCACCACAATAAACTTAAAATTTCCAAGATCTCTTGTATCAGGATTACACTTCATTTTTTCTGAATCTTCTATTGCATTGACACTAGTTAGTTTAGTTATCTCACTATTGTTAACTGTGAGGTGTTTGAAATTATAAAGGTATTTGATAGGGGAGGGAGCTACAGGGATATATCCTCTGGTGGTAGCGGGGGGGGTGGGGTGTATCCAGAACAGGGGGGGGGCATCATCTTAAAATTAGGGCCAGGCCATTTAGGGGTGAAATCAGGGGCAGTTTTTCCCCCAAAGTGAGTGGGAATCTCTCTCTCTCCCTCCCCCAAAAGGCTGTGGGTTATGGCTATATCCAGTCACATTGTCCAGACTGAGGTGGGAGATGTTTGTCAGGTCAGGAGATACGGGGCAAAGGGGGGTAATTGGGGTTAAAGTACAGATCAGCCGTGATCTTCTAGAATGGCGGACTAGGCTCGAGGGGCTGAATGGTCTCCTCCTGTTTCTACGATGGGGCCCGAGCTGGGGGCGAAGGGGGGGGGGGGTTTGGGGTTTCGTCACGTCACCTGTTCCTGTGTGGAGATGTAATCGTCGATGAAGGGGACGCCCTCGTTCTGCCCTGACCCCGGACGCAGGTGATCCTGGCCACCGACATCTGGCTGGGTTTGATGGTGGATTTGGTCCCGTCGCTCCGGAGCTCCGCCTCCTCCTGCCAACGAGTGGGAGAAACCAGGAGATCAGACAGAAAAATAAACAACAACAAAACACATGGCATTCCTTCACTCCTCCCCACCCGCCCCCCACACCACAGTCCACCGGGATTAAATAATAACAATAATAATAATAATAATCCTCGCATCTGAGCCTTATCACGTGGTGGAGATGTCTCAAAACATTCGCCTCTCAAGCGGGACCTGGGTTCGATCTGCCAATCGACTAACAACATGGTTCCTACTTAGTGCTGGTAAACAGAGACGTGTGGAGTAAGGAAACTTGCCCAATATTTGGCCCTGCCCCAAGAACCAAACCCAGGTCTCTCGCTTGCGAGGCGAGTGCTCTAACCACTGAGCTACAGGACTCCACAACAACAAACTATATCTGCCTCTCATTTGGGGAGGATGTCCTGAGGAGGGTAGTAATGAGGAGGCTTGAGGGACAAACCTGGTTCAATGTGACGAACTCTGCGTCCAGCCCCACCAGGTCATTTCGTTGCGGCATCTCATTCAGCATCAGGGGGATGAAGGTGGCATGAGATTTCCTCTGTTTCCTGGCCAGTGAGGCCTCGGTCAACAGCACGCTGGCTTCAATCGGGTTCTTTACTGAACAGCACGGAGAGAGAGAGAGAGAGAGAGAGAGAGAGGGTGAGAGTGTGAGGAAGAGAATGAGAGAGTGTGACAGAGAGAATGAGAGAGAGAGGGATAGAAAGTGAGCGAAAGAGAGAGAGAGACTGACGGGGGGTGGGGGGGGGGGGGGTTGTGGAGCGGGGCCGGGGCTCGCTGAGCGTCACATTCTCACTACCTACTGGTTAAGTCGTGCCTGGAGTTGAGGTTGCGTCTGGCGTAGTACAGGCTGCAGGGAATCTTCCAACTCAAATCAAACTGCACGGGATCACACTGCGAGCGAGAGCCACAAAGACACAGCGTTTAGATGGCTTCAAAAGGGTATCAATGACCCCCCCCCCCCCCCCCAACAATAAACATTCTCCCTCCACACCCCGACACACACACAGACAGAGCCCGTCTCCACATTGGCTGGCACAATCAAGCTTCCCCGTTGGTGGACGCACAAGTAACCTTCCCAATTGGTGATCCAAGGGAAGCCAGCATTGGTGGCGGACCCAACAACGACCACTTGCATTTACACAGGGCCCACTCACGTAGGACAGCGTCCCCGAGCGCTTGACAGTGGCGGAGCATGACCCCAAGCCGGGGGTGGGAAGGTCACTGTAGGCACGGTTGATAGAGGAAGGTCTTCAGGCAAGACCTGAAGACGGGGAAGGAAGGCGGCGAGGCGGAGGGATTGAGGGAGAGAGTTCCAGTTTCCGGACGTTTAGTGGCCCCCACTCTGATGGTGGAGTGGGGGGCACGAGGGACAAGCAAGAGGCCGGAGCCGGTTGAGCGGAGGCAACGGGTAGTGGGTCGGGGGGTAAGCAGGTCAGAGAGGGAGGGAGGTGCCAGGACATGAAGCGATTTGAAAACGAGTGTGAGGATCTTGGAATCAATCTGTTCAGCCATTGGGAGCCAGTGGAGCTTGGCTAGAACTGGTGTGATGTGGGGGGGAGTTTGGTGGGGGTGAGGATGTGGGCGGCGGAGTTTGGGATCAGCTGGTTCCTATGCAAGGTGGACCTGGAGAGACCGGTGATGAGGGCATTTGAGTCCCAACGGGGATGGGGGTGTTTCAATGTAATCAATATTGGCCAAAAATATTGCAATGAAAAACTGAATAATAGCAACTCATAATATTATTACCTTATCAATCGGTTCGATCAGGAAATCATTGAAGAGATACCACTGCTTGTGAGTCACACCCTGCAGCAACAACAAGAACAAGTTACACATGGAAAGCGCCAATCACGTCGTGAAGATGTCCCAAGGCGCTGGACAATCGAGTGTTTCGGACCCGAGCTGGGGGTCGGGATCAGGGAGGGTGGGACAGGGGGGGGAGCAAGGTACGGTTGAGCAGGGTCTTGAAGAGCAGGGTCTTGAAGGAAGCAAGTGAGGGTTCATTTCTCTTTAATAAGCCTTAAAAGAAATGATAATTGTTTTTTAGATAATAGGGTCGTTATCAGGACTTTTTGGTCACCCTGTATATACTGTGTAATAATAATAATTGCATTTGATACAGAGCCTTATCATGTCTGAGCGACGTCTCAAAGCGCTTCACAGGATACACTGTAAAGTGAATTGACTGTATATTTTGTGGGCGAAACGTGGCAGCCGATTGCGCCCAGCAGCGTCCCACAAACAGCCGTGGGTTGCGTATGAATTGAGTACGAGTATGAATTGTTCTGAATACGCGCAAGTTTAATCCCTATCAAAAGTAGTGCGCGGGTTTGGTCCTAAAACACAACATACGTTCTACATCATGAACCATTCGCCAAGACAGTGACACGGGATATTATTTCCTCACAGAAATCTAAACGATTTGCTGATCGGCTATAAGGTTTGGCCCCGCCCGGGAACGGAACTCGTGGCCTCTGGCTTGTGAGACGAGAGCGTTCTGACCCCCACACTAGCGGCCGTACCTCTTTCCGCTGGTGGTACGTTTCCCCGACTTTGATGTGAGCCACGAGGTTTCCTCCCGTCCGAGGATCCAGCACGTGGGCAACAGTGACCACCAGGTCATACAGGAAGGTGTTCTCCTCGTCATCACACTGTCCAGCACAACACAACACAGAGCAGCAGTTACCGCCTGGAACCCAACCCCTGAAGAGGCCGGTATCAGCAGATTCCATGACAACTTTCAAAAGGGAATTGTCGAGGTACTCGAAAAGGGAACAGATGTGCCAGCAAGGCTACGGGGAAAGAGCGCGGGGTTGGTGGGGGGAGACTAGTTGGGATAGCTCCTTCAAAGAGCCAGCACAGTCACGATAGGCCGAATGATAATAATAATAATAAACCTTGCATTTGATATAACACCGTATTGCGTCTTCGAGACACCGCAAAGCGCTTCGCAGGATACGCTACAAAGTGTAGTGACTGGGTATCTTGTGGGCGAGACTGTCTATTTTGTGTTTCTATATCTGCTTAATTCGCTGTTTGCTATATCTGTTTAATTGTTCCTATATCGGTTTGTATCTATATACACCTTCCGAAAGCTAATCGCATGGATTCTGCCTCGAGTATAACATGGAAACTTGCCTAAGGTCCCGCCCTGCCCGGCCGGGAATCGAACCGGGGTCCTCTCGCTTGTGAGGCGAGCGCTCTAACCAACTACCTTCCACATCCTAACCCCGCCTAGCCCCCCCGGGGCCAGTTTACATACTTCCTCCTTCTCGTTCCAGTTGTTGACTTCCAGCTTCTTGTTTTTGTTCAACTTCATTTTGATGGAGAACGGAATCCAGATGTGCTTCATTTCCTCCATGGAGGTGAAGAAGTTTAAACCCTCGGCGTTGCACAAGGCTTCCCTGGAAAACAAAATCATTCCCAATCAATTTCCATCGCCTGTCAGACCAGCTGAAATGAATATCAGTCACGATAATAATAATTATGTGGAGTCCTGTAGCTCAGTGGTTAGAGCACTCGCCTCGCAAGCGAAAGGACATGGATTTGATTCCCGGGCGGGGCAAAACACTGGGCAAGTTTCCTTACTCCATACGCTTGTTTACCCAGCAGTAAGTAGGAACCCGGTTGCTAAATCGATTGGCGGATCGCTTTTCCGGGGATAATAATCCCTTCAAAACAAAAATAAATTTAAAAAAATATTAATAATTTGGTCACTCAATCCACGGCTGTTTGTGGGGACGCTGCTGTGAGCAATTGGCTGCCGCGTTTCGCCCGCAAAATACACATTCAATTCACTTGACAGTGTATCCTGTGAAGCGCTTTGAGACGTCTCGAAGGCGCTGTGTCAAATGCGAGGATTATTGTTATCGGGGGAACCTACCATTCTACAGGGTTACTCTCTTTCATTTTAATGGCCTCAGAATTCTCCTTCTTCATTCTGTTGTGGAACTCGTACTGTCAGGGAATAACACAAACATTCAGGCAAAACATACGTAGAAACAGGAGGAGGCCATTCAGCCCCTCGAGCCTGCTCCGTTATTCTATAAGATCACAGCTGATCTGTACCTCAACTCCAATTACCCTCCTTTGCTCCCCATCCCTCGATACCCTGACCTAACAATACCCGCAGTAACCCTCCCACCAGCTCATGCGTCTTCACGGTCCCTGTCCACCCAGCACCCCACTCGCCCATTCAAAGCAACATGGATCATAATATTTTTTGTGGGGGTTCAGGCTGATACACGCAGAAACCCATCTCCGTGGTCAAGCATCTCCAAACCCAACTGAGAATTCCCGGCCTCCCACCTACACACGGAAACCCCGGAGATAGATTGTTGGAATGGAATGCACTCTCTCTCTCTCCCTAGAGGGACGCCCCCTGCTTACCTAATTCCAGAGAGTATTAGGCGCAGGTTGGCGAGAGCCAAGGCTTGGGTGGGGGGGGGGGGGAAGCCCAGAGTGTGTGTAACTGCTGGAGTCTAACCAGCTAAAACCACACATAGCTTGGCCATTGAGAGAGAGAGAGAGAGAGAGCGCTTCTGGCTAAGCTTTCCCACTGCTTGTCCAGCCAGGACCACCCTCGCCGTTAGGGCTTTGGCTGCAGGGTTAACAGAGCTGAGTGGGATGACTTCCTGCCCCCAGTAACTGGTCTGCCCTTCCAGGTCCTGCCGATGAGCCAGGCTGGGCTGTGCTGTCATCAGCAGTGCCCTGGAATACTGTGGACCCTCCTGGCTCAGGAACTGGACTACCACCTATTGAACGAAAACCTGGCACATTAATAACAATCTAGTGTGTCTACTATCCTCTAGACACACCTCAGCTTGGCATTTCCAGAACTCAGCCTCCTTCGTGCTATTAACTTCACAGTTTATAACTAGAACATCAGGGAGACATCGGATATTCCTGGTTTGGACCTGGAAGAGATCACAAAGGCAATTAGAAGCCAAGCCGAGCAAACCAAGGAAATCAACAAGTGAAGTGAATGGGTAATGACCAAATCTTTGCGATATCACAAAGGCAGATGTTTATTATGCGCCATGTACATATCCAGGTTTATTTATCTACATAGAGTCCTGAAGCTCAGTGGTTAGAGCACTCGCCTCGCGAGCGAGAGGACCTGGGCTTGATTCCCGGGCCGGGCGAAATGTTGGGCAACTTTCCTTACTCCACACACCCAGCAGTAAGTAGGAACTTGCTTGTTAGTTGATTGAGTGGATCGCTTTTCAAGGGATAACAATCCCTTCAGTTTTTTTTAAATAGGTTTAAACTTGTGCATATTCAATACAATTCATACTCGTACTCAATTAATATTCAATCCACAACTGTTTGTGGGGACGCTGCTGTGCACAACTGGTTGCCGCGTTTCACACCCAAAATATACAGTCAATTCGCTTTACAGTATACTCTGTGAAGCACTTTTGAGACGTCTCGAAAACGTGATAAACCAATGTATCAAATGCGAGGATTATTATTTTGATTATTATGATGCGCTACGTGTAGATGAGGAGTAAACTTACGTGAACGTAGGAATTACAAGGGAGTTAAATAATTTTAAAAAGTCCTCTCAGTCCATTGAGTTACTCTGTACACGATTTATATATCCACACAGTGCTTGAGACAACAACTTGTGTTTATATGGCGCCCTTTGCTTGACTCAGGAAGTGACTTCAGCAGTGACCCGCTGACTCGGAAGTTGGTCGTTCCTCCGTGCTTTGTTATAGTAGAGTCCTGTAGCTCAGTGGTTAGAGCACTCGCTTTGCAAGTGAGAGACCTGAGTTCAATCCAGGCAGAGGGCGAAACCTCGGGCAAGTTTCCTTACTCCACACAGAGCCTAATAATAATCCCTCCAAAACCAAAACAATAATAAATTGGTCATTTTCAATCACGACTGTTTGTGGGACATTGCTGTGCGCAATTGGCTGCCGCGTTCGCCCACAAATATACAGTCAATTCACTTTACAGTGTGTTCTGTGAAGCGCTTTGGGACGTCCTCCCGACGTGAAAAGGCTATATCAAATGCAAGGATTATTATTATTAGGATTATTATTATAATTAACGCACGACAGCACCTCTGAATGCTTAACAGTAACGGAGCTGGAGGCTGAAATCCCCTCCCCACCCACCCACAGCACACACAGTGTTGTACAGGTCCTGTACAACAAAGTCCTGTTACCCCACTCCACTTCCCCCGCGACCCCCCCTCCCACCACTGCTATTTTTTTCTTACAATTAATTTTTAGTTTCTGTTGCAGTAACAATGTCTGATTCCAGTAACCGCTTCTTCACTCCGTCCATGTTACGGAAGATGTGTCGCCGAACATGGCGATGGATCATTATCTGCCATGAAAATGATGGCGCTCACACATACCCTCACACACACCATCACACACACACTCACACACGCACTCACACACTACACACTCACATATGCACTCACACACTACACTACACACACACACACACGCACTCACACACTACACTACACACACGCACTCACACACTACACTACACACTCACCGACATCGACTCTCCGGAAGGCTAAATACAGTTAAAACACTTCTCCTGAATACAACAAAGAACTTCTAAATAAAATTATCATCATTCTCAATAATAATACTAATCCTTGCATTTGATGCAGCGCCTCATCACGTCATTGAGGCATCTCAAAGGACTTCACAGGATATACTACAAAGCGTAGTGGGTGAAACTCGGCAGCCAACTGCACACAGCAGCGTCCCCACAAACAGTCGTGGATTGAGTGACCAAATTATTATTATTATTGGGGGGGGGAATGGATTAATATTAGCTCCGGAAAGCGATCCGCCAATCAACTAACAACCAGTTCCTATTTCCTGCTAGGTAAACAGAGGAGTGTTTACTTCCACATGGTCTCATTTGTTGAGCAAGGCAGAGCAGTGCAGAGCAGGGCAGAGTTGGGCAGGGCAGGGCAGAGCAGGGAAGGGAAGGGAAGGGCAGGGAAGGGAAGGGCAAGGCAGGGCAGAGCAGCGTCTCTGTGGCAAACACACTCACTGTTGGCTGGTATTTTTCACAGTTCTCACACCAGGCTTGGGTGCTCTGTTCGAGGCAAATGCTTCTCTTCAGCACTTCAGCAAACTCGTACTGACGTATAGGCTTGCCTGGACAAGGGAAATCCACACCTCACAAAAGGGAAACAACAACAACAACATGCATTTACACAGAGCCCTTCACGTGGGGTAGCGTCCCGGAGCACTTGACAGTAGCAGAGTCTGACCCCGAGCCGGGGGGAGAGGGAGGGGGGAGGTGACCGTGAGCGTGATCAAAAAGGTCTTCAGGCGGGATTGAAAGCGGGGAGGGAGGGGGCGAGGCGGAGGGATTGAGGGAGGGAGTTTCAGGCCCTGCTCTGTCCTGTCCTGCCCTGTGGCTGAAGGCATGGCCACTGATGGTGGAGTGGGAGGGGGTGAAGGACGAGCAGGAAGCTGGAGCCAGCCAAGCGGGGGCAGCGGGTGGTGGAGTTGGGGGGAGAGGGAAGCAGGTCGCAGAGGGAGGGAGGGAGATGCCAGGGCGTGAAGGAAATTTGTAAATCGCTGCATCACTGTGTGTTAATCGCTGTGATGCTGCGCACAAATCAGTGCAGGACTGCGTGCTAATTGCCACATTGTGGTGCGTTAATTGCTGCATTACTGCTGGCTGACTGTTGCAGTACTGCCCCCCTCCTCCGCCCCCCCCACAGCCACATTGCTGCGCGAGCGCTCGGCCCCTCACAGCTCATGTCCGGGTACTGCAGAGTGAAGAGGAGACTGGACGAGACCCGGACGGTTTCCTTCCCACAGCGGCAGGTGCTGCAGTTTTCTACCTCGCAGCCAAACAGCTTCCCAATGGCCGACTCCCCAGAGGATCCAAAGGTACTAAACCCAGAGACAAGGCGTCAACGTAAAGAGGACCGTAACGGGTATGCGTGCGTGTGTGTGTGGTGTGAGTGTTGTGTGTGTGATGTGTGTTGCGTGATGTACGTTGTGTGTGGTGTGTGCGTATATGTATGTGTGTGTGTGTGGGTATATGTGTGCGTGTATATGTGTGAGTGTGTGGTGTGTGTGTTGTGTGTGTGTATATGTGTGTGTGGAGAGGGACAGACAGATACAGAAAGGGAGAACATAGGAACAGGACTAGGCCATGTGGAGTTCTGTACCTCAGTGGTTAGAGCACTTGGCTCGCAAGTGAGAGGATCCAGGTTTGATTCCCGGGCAGGGTGAAACTTTAGGCAAATTTCCTTACTCCACACATAAATAATAATAAATTGGTCGCTTAATCCACGACTGTTTGCAGGATGCTGCTGTGTGCAATTTGCTGCCGCGTTTCGCCCACAAAATATACAGTCACTTTACAGTATATTCTGTGAAGCACTTTGAGACATCTCAAAGACTTGGGAGGAGGTGATGGATTGAGGGAGGGAGGTCGTGAGAGAGGGGAGGATAGAAGGGGTGAGAGGTGGGGGTTATTGCCCACCGGTGTAATAACAACAACAAATGATATTTACACAGCGCCTTTCACATCAGGAGGACGTCCCAAGACGCAGTCAGGGATCTGCACCCGAGCTGGTGGTTGGGATCAGGAGGGGTGGAGGGCAGGGAGGGTAGGTGTATGGGGGTGACCGAAGGCACGGTCGAAGAGGAGGGTCTTGAGATGGGTCTTGAAGGAGGCAAGGGAGGGGGCGATGCGGAGGGAGTGTGGGATGGAGTTCCAGAGGGTGGGGGCAGAGTGGCAGAAGGCCCGCCCGCCAATAGTGAGGCAGGCAAGGCGTGGAATGTGAAGCAGGCCAGAGCCCGCTGAGGGGAGGGAGCGAGTAGGATGGTAGGGGGTTAGGAGGTCGCAGAGGTAGGAGAGCGAGGCCATGGAGGGTTTTGAAGGTGAGGATCAGGATCTTGAACTGTATCCTCTGTGTGATGGGAAGCCAGTGGAGTCGGGCGAGGATGGGGGAGATGGGGTCACGGAGACTGGTGCGGAAGAGGACACGGGCTGCAGAGTTCTGGATGATCTGCAGCCTGTGGAGGGAGGAGTTGGGGAGGAGGACAAGCAGGGATTTAGCTAGCGCTCAGCCTGACCTGCCCATGACACTGCGATAGGCCTGGGGCCCCTCCTGCTCCTGTGTCTCCTGGTGAAGCTGGGTCAGGATGAAACGGTTCCAACTCTGTACCAGACGGCCCAGGTTCACTTTCCCGGTCGCCTCGTCCGAATCAGCCAGGATCAGCCCCAGAGCTGAGGCCTCGGGAATGGTGCGGAAAGCACGCAAGAAATTACTGGCCTGAGAGACAGTGTAAGTGTTATTAAATATTAATAATAATCCTTGCATTTGATATAGGTTTACAATAATACGCCTTATCAAGTCCCAAATAATAAGCCTTGCAGTTGTTTGATCTGCGTAAATTGTAAAAGTCCCGTTGAATTCCCTATAACTTGTACGTTTCACATAACTCATACTTTGGATAAGTCATATAAATGTCTGGTCCCAAGTGATATGACTGATGTGAGGTTTACTGTAGCGCTTTATCATGCCGTTGAGATGTCTCAAACCCTATACAGAATATACTGTAAAGTCGATTTTTTTTTTGGTCAGCCAGGTGTCTGACAGGTGGGGAAAACCCATCACCGAGCTTAAGAAAACCCATCAATCGCGCACAGCAGTGTCCCGCAAACAGTCGGGGATTGAGTGACCAAATTACTATGATTTTCCTTTTTTGAAGTGATTATTATTACCCGCGGAAAAGTGATCCGCCAATCGACCAGCAACCGGGTACCCAGTTACTGCTGGTAAACAGAGGTGTGCGGAGTAAGGTACGGTCCTGCCCAGGAATCCAACCCAGGTCCTCTCGCTGGCGAGGCGAGCACTCTAACCACTGAGCCACAGGGACTCCAAGACTCCAAATATTAGAGCACTTAAACCTTAAACCCTCCCCCTCCTGCCCCCAGTCACACAGTGTGGGTTCGACCGTAGTTGGGAGCAGATGTAGAGTGCACGCGAGAGTGCTGCAGTATACGGAGAATGCGTGGTACACGCGGCTTAGCTGCAGAATGCGTGAGAGGAGATTTATTTAAACGAACGCTAATCACAGATCATATTTAGACAAGCAGAGCTGCTATCACACTCGCCACCTGCAGAGAGCGCTGTTGCACCACTCAGGCTGTGTCCAGTGGTGCCCCCAACAGGCAATAACTGGTACTGACACTGTCAGAGAGAATTCAGGACCACCCCTGCACTCACTCGCCCTCCCCCCAACCCGAGGTTTGCGGGGTGGGGGTGGGGGGACTGTCTCCCGGGCGGCTGTTACCTGGCAGGGGTCTCCTCGCGAGAGGTCCAGCATGTGGAAGAGGAAACCCAGCTCACAGCCCAGACAGAACTCCTTCTGGCACAAGTGGTTCTGGACGTGGCAACGGATCGGCTCCAACAAGTGGAGCACCTGGAACACAGAGAGCGAGAGATCAGCCCCCGCCACCCTCAGCCCAGCCCCCGCCACCCTCAGCCCAGCCCCCGCCACCCTCAGCCCAGCCCCCGCCACCCTCAGCCCAGCCCCCGCCACCCTCAGCCCAGCCTCCGCCACCCTCAGCCCAGCCTCCGCCACCTCAGCCCACCCCAGCCCCCACCACCACTCAGCCCAGCCCCCACCACCACTCAGCCCAGCCCCCGCCACCCTCAGCCCAGCTTAATACCTTCCCCCCTCAACCCATACAGCACCCAGAACATCCCTATGTCCTACCCTCAAGCCGGGCACCCCACACATCACGGCTCAAAACAATAATAATAATAATCCTTGCATTTGATAGACCGCCTTGTCACATCGTTGAGACGTCTCAAAGCGCTTCACAGGATACACTGCAAACTGGATGGACTTGTGCACTATGGGGGTGAAACGCGGCAGCCAATTGCACACGGCAGTGTCCCCAGACACAGTCATGGATTGAACGTCCCAGTTTATTTATTTATTTATTATGTGGCGGCATTATTACCCCCAGAAAAGCGATCCGCCAATCGACTGACAACCGGGTTCCTGCTTATTGCTGAGGCGCGAGGGGTACGGAAGGAAACGTGCCCAAGGTTTTGCCCTGTCGCCTGCCTCCCCTTCCCCTTGGCTCGGTGTCGTGCTCCATCACAATCAAGGGCTCTGAGACGCGAGCCAGCATGAGGGGCGCTGGGTAAATGGAAGTTGTTGTTGTTGTGTGCGGGGGGGGGGGGGGTGGGGGAGCGTCAGAGAGTGACTCACCTGCAAACTCTCCCCTCTATCCCCCTCTTGTGGGGAAACACCCGCCGAGCACCTCACCACGGCCCCAAGGATAATGGGGAACTTACTTTGTGGGTTGATGCGGCAACACAAACACTGATAACTGTGCGGCTCAGTGCACACACCAAAGTCACCTCCCTCCCTCAGCTGTCACCTCAGTACAAGCCAAATTTAAAAGCATCCTGCACCCGCCCTCCACTGAAACAAACAGCGCTGAGGAGCAAAGCCAGTCCTCAGCTCCCTTTAATCTGGTTCCTAATAATAATAATCCTTGCATCTCACACAGCGCCTTATCACATCGTTGAGACGTCTCAAAGCGTTTCACGGGATACGCTGTAAAGTGAATTGACTGCGTGTTTTGTGGGTGAAACGCGGCACAGCAGCGTCCCCGCAAACAGTGGTGAATCGAGAGACAAATTATTATATATTTTTGGAGGGATAATTACCCCCCCCCACCCCCGCCCCAAAAGCGCTCCACTAATCGACTAACAACCAGGTTCCTATTTACTGTTGGGTAAACAGAGGGTTCGTGTGCGTGGAGTAAGGAAACGTGTCTAAGGTTTAACCCTGACCCACCCGGGAATCGAACCTGGGTCCTCTAGCCTGCGCGGCGAGGGCTCTAACCAGTGAGCTACAGGATTATGTGTCTCTGACCTGAATCATACAGTTACAGTAAGCATTGGGAATGTGCGGCTCCAGCCCAGCAAACAGCGTCTTGTTGTAGTGTTTGAAGTCAAAGTCTTCCAGACCGAGCTTGGAATATTTTATCGTCACCTGGAGGAAAAAAAAAATCACACGACCAGATTACACAGCAGTCGAAGAGGGGGCGAGGAGAGGAGGAGGGATTTTTTTTAAAACAATTTTTTAAAAAAGAATTCTGACCTTTCGGTATTTCTTTGGGACCATGTGCAGGTGAGGTTCCTCCTCTCTCCCAATGGGAGACTCCGGAACTTGGCTGTAACTGTCAAACTCCGTCTCCACCTCCTTCAGCTTATAAGGAACCTGCAGACAGACACCGATTGATTGGCAGATAGGAGACAGAGACGGAGACACAGATAGACTGAGAAATGGAGAGAAACAGAGACAGATAGAGGGACAGACAGAGGGACAGACAGACAGACAGAAACTGAAGGCTTATCAGGCAATGCAGCTTTAGACTCACAAACGTCTTTGGAGTTTAGATACAGATGATAACAATAATCCTTACATTTGATATAGCGCCTTATCACGTCTCAAAGCGCTTCACAGAATATACTGTAAAGTGTAGTGACTGTATGTTGTGCAGTGACTGTATGTTGTGCAGTGACACTATGTTGTGTAGTGACTGTATGTTGTGTAGTGACTGTATGTTGTGTAGTGACTGTTGTGTAGTGACTGTATGTTGTGTAATGACTGTATGTTGTGCAGTGACTGTATGTTGTGCAGTGACACTGTTGTGTAGTGACTGTATGTTGTGTAATGACTGTATGTTGTGTAATGAGTGTATGTTGTGTAGTGACTATATGTTGTGTAGTGATTGTATGTTGTGTAGTGACTGTATGTTGTGTAGTGACTGTATGTTATGTAGTGAATGTATGTTGTATGATTGTATGTTGTGTAGTGACTGTATGTTGTGCAGTGACTGTATGTTGTGTAGTGACTGTATGTTGTGTAGTGACTGTATGTTGTGTAGTGGCTGTATGTTGTGTAGTGGCTGTATGTTGTGTGACTGTATGTTGTGTAGTGACTGTATATTGTGCAGTGACTGTATGTTGTGCAGTGACACTGTTGTGTAGTGACTGTATGTTGTGTAATGACTGTATGTTGTGTAATGAGTGTATGTTGTGTAGTGACTGTATGTTGTGTAGTGACTGTATGTTGTGCAGTGACTGTATGTTGTGCAGTGACACTATGTTGTGTAGTGATTGTATGTTGTGTAGTGACTGTATGTTGTGTAGTGACTGTATGTTATGTAGTGAATGTATGTTGTGTAGTGGCTGTATGTTGTGTAGTGGCTGTATGTTGTGTAGTGGCTGTATGTTGTGTAGTGGCTGTATGTTGTGTAGTGACTGTATGTTGTGTGCTGTATGTTGTGTAGTGACTGTATGTTGTGTGACTGTATGTTGTGTAGTGACTGTATGTTGTGCAGTGACTGTATGTTGTGCAGTGACACTATGTTGTGTAGTGACTGTATGTTGTGTAGTGACTGTATGTTGTGTAGTGACTGTATGTTGTGATCTAATAGAATGGCAGAAGACTTGAGGGAGGGGCTGAATGGCCTCCTCCTGTTCCTATGTTCCCTGGGGCACTTCAGGCCACACGTGGATTCACCTTGACGTGATCAGGCGTGTACATGCGACAGACACAAGACTCCTTAACCTCTCTGTTTTCCGGCCCGAGTTACCTGGTTGCGGAGTTTGGTGCGGGGGTTGGGGGCGTAGCCGATGAAGCCGACCTTCTTCATGGTGCGGAGGATCTCCAGATCGACCGGCGGGGCACGCCTGGAACACAGCGAACACGGGAGAACATGCGTGAGCAGGCCAGCTGGGCGCGGTGTCGGTTCCTGCGAGATTCGATAGAGTCACGCACAGCGTTTCGTTTCATCTGGATTTTTTTCTGCTCCGCTCCCTCCCTCCTCAAAACACTGGTCAACACCAGTCCTCGCCCGGCTCCACTGGCTCCCTACCTTCGAACACTTCGGCTTCAAATCCCTTCATACCCTGGCACCCACCCACCCACCGACCCACCCCCTCCCTCCTTCCCTCCCCCTCCCTCTCTCCCTCCCTCCCCGACCCACTTACTCCCCAACCCACAACCCACTGCCTCCGCTCGACTGGCTCCGGCCTCCTGCTTGTCCCTCATGCCCTCCGTTCCACCATCGGTGGCCGCGCTTTCAGCCACTAAACGCCTCGAAACTCTGGAACTCTCTCCCTCTATCCCTCCACCTCGCCTCTTCCTTCCCCCTCTTTGACCATGCCTACGGTCACCTCCCCCTCCTCTCGCTCAGCGTCGTGCTCTGCCACTGTCAAGCTACTCTGGGACTCTACCCTGCGTGAGGGGGGGGGCGTTGTGTAAATGCAAGTTGTCCTTGTCTGGCAGTCAGGTACCTGGGTGTGACGATGGAGTTTGCTGAGGGCCAGTCAGACAGCAGGGTCTCACTGATGAGAGGCACGGGGATGAGGGCCAGAGGCTGGAGGTCATTGTTCCAGTCCAGGATGGGCAGTGAATCCACCATGCAGGGCATGGGGAACTCTGTCTCTCGGGAGTAGGCATTGAAGGTGGCGTTGGGTGAATCTGCCCACAGGTGGGCACAGCCCCCGGAGTCTCCGAACACCAGCGCCTGTTTGCTGGACGACACGTCGAATGACATCACTAACTGCCCCACCGTGTTCACGTGGAAAATGTCCACCGGGCTCGCCAGGCCCGTCGGCTCACAGAACTGGCACTGTCCTGCAAGGCAATAGACACAGGGATAGACATGCCGATAGGCAAGGCAATAGACACGGCAATAGGCAAGGCAATAGACACGGCAATAGACACAACGATAGACATGTCAATAGGCAAGGTAATCAGTAAGGCAACAGTCCAGTAGCATAGTAGGGACTCAATGACCAAAGTGCGGCTTGTAAACGCTTGACTGAGCCAAGCTGACACCTGCCAATCAGTTAACTACAGTGGAGTCCTGTAGCTCAATGGTTAAGAGCATTCGCCTCGTAAGTGAGACAACCCAGGTTCAATTCCCAGACGGGTCAGGACAAAACCTTAGGCAAGTTTCCTTACTCCACACCCACACACACAGCAGTAAGTAGGAACCTGAATGTTAAGTCGCTTGGAGGATCACTTTTCGGGGGGTAATAATATCTCCCCTCCCCCACCCCCCAAAAAATTGATCACTCAATCCACAACTGTTTGTGGGACACTGCTGTGCGTGATTGGCTTCCTCGTTTAACCCACAAAACACACAGTCAATCCATTTTACAGTATATTCTGTGAAGCGCTTTGAGAAATCTTAACAACGTGATAAGGCGCTATATCAAATGCAAGGATTATTATTATTATTCATATGACAACAATCCTTGCATTGGATACGGCACCTTTGACATCGGGAGGATGTCTCAACTCAATAATAATAATAATCCTTGCATTTGATACATACAGACATCTTCGAGATGTCTCAAAGCACTTCACAGAACGTACTGTCAAGTGAATTGACTGTATATTTTGTGGGCGAAACGCTGCAGCCACAAATAGTCGTGGATTGAAGTGACCAATTTTTTTTTTGAAGGGATTATTACCCCTGAAAAAACGATCCACCAATTGAGTAACAACCGGGTTCCTACTTACTGCTGGATAAACAGAGGCGTGTGGAGTCCTGTAGCTCAGTGGTTAGAGCACTCGCTTTGCAATTCCAGGCAGGGAAACCTTGGGCAAGTTTCCTTACTCCACACAGAGCCTAATAATAATCCCTCCAAAACCAAAACAATAATAAATTGGTCATTTTCAATCCCCGACTGTTTGTGGGACATTGCTGTGCGCAATTGGCTGCCGCGTTCGCCCACAAATGTACAGTCAATTCACTTTACAGTGTGTTCTGTGAAGCGCTTTGGGACGTCCTCCCGACGTGAAAAGCGCTATATCAAATGCAAGGATTATTATTATTATTATGTGTGGAGTAAGGAAACTTGCCCAACATTTCACCCTGCCGGGAATCGAACCCAGGCCCTCTCGCTTGCAAGGCGAGCGCTCTAACCACTGAACTACAGAACTCCACTCAAGGCATTTGGGGGGGGATTTACTGGGTGAGGAATTTGCCTACAGACACACGGCCGCAACACTTGATTCAAGTTGCCTGGGAGGCACCTGGTGGGGTTTTGACTGACAATTTATTACACCCATGTTATTGCATTCCTGAAAGGAAAAGGAGGAACATCTGAAAGACTCTGGGGAATGGGTTAGAACTGAGCCCAGCCCGTCACTGCTACCAAGCTCACAGCGATGAGGCTTCAGAATCTGCTAGCCCATATAGCCGCAACCCCCCACCCCACCCCCAACCAGCTTAGCTGGTTAGACTCCAGCAGTTAACCCAACGCACACTCTGGAGTCCCAACCCTTGGCTCTTGCCAACCTGCCCCTGGGTGAGCAGGATGCATCTTTCCAGGAAGGATGAGAAAGAGAGAGGGGGAGAGAGCGCATTCCATTCCAACAATCTATCTCTGGGATTTCCATGTGTGTAGGTGGGATACACGTAATGTTGGGTTTGGAAACTCTTTGATGGGTTTTTCTGTAAGTCAGACATCCTGCTGACAAAAAAAGTTTTCTTCCTGAAACACAAGAATCCACTAAGTCTGTAAGCATATCCCATCCAACTCTCTAACCACTCCTCTCATACCAGAATGTGATGATGAATGAGCCTGTATTTGAGCCCCAGGCGACCACGGATGTAAGTGTAACATGAGAGAGAGTTCCCCCGCGCCACACAGGCTGAGGCAATGAAACGCTTCTCACAATGGCTTGATGTTGCTCGCCCACCACCACTCTGTTATTGGGAATCCTTTCAGGTGTCAAATTTCCATCTCCACAATTTCTGTCCTGATCTCAGCCGCCCAGGACGAATGAGAGAGAAAGTGAGAGAGAGGGCGAGGGAGAGGGCTACCTATATTTGGTTAGCTCTTTACACTATATTTGGAAGCTCTTGTCAAAGAGCCGGCACAGACAAGATGAGCCGAATGGCCTCCTTCTGTGCTGTATAATTCTATGAGAGAAAGAAAGAGGGAGAGAGGGTGAGCGAGAGAGAGAGAGAGAGAGCGAGAAGGCTACAGAGAGTGTTATGTCCTCAACATTCAATGTTTAGAACTCTTTTATTCTCAGCTCCAAGTTGCAAATCAAACAATCCAACCGGAGACCCGCTAGTCAGTTCTCCCTGCTTCGTGCTTTTCTACCTCCTGATCCCCTTGCATTGGTCCTAGTTAATTGGTCCTTAATTTCTTAAAGGGTAGCCAACAGAGAGAGAGAGAGAGAGGCAAGACAGAAAGCGGGCGAGTGAGAGTCCGAGACAGGAATGAGAGAGCAAGAGGGAGAGGCGAGAGAGAGAGGGCGAGTGAGAGAGAGAGAGGGCGAGCGAGAGAGAGAGAGGGCTAGTGCTTCACCACCTCTCAGCCTCTATTGCCTGTAAGCCTGTGGGTGGACAGAGAATAACCCACTAGCAATCTCCCACCCCGGGCACGCAGAGGACGGGGTGGGCGGGAATGGGAAACCGAGCAGCCAAAAGACTGGCGATGACCTCACGGTATTCCAGGTAAAAAAAATCAGGAATATTCACTGCAAACATTCCCTCGGGAGGCCAACTAAGGGCTGCTGCTCCTACAAATCCATCTACAAATCCCTTCATGCCCTGGTACCTATCTACCTCTCTGACCTGCTGACTCCCCACTCCACTACCCACCACCTCCCCTCGCTGTCTCTCTCTCTCTCACACACACGCCTCTTGCTCCACCATCGCCTCCACTGCTCCACCATCAGTGGCCGCATATTCAGCCACTGCGCCCCAAATTTCTGGAACTCTCTCCCTCAATTCCTCCGCCTCGCCCCTTCCTTCCCCATTTGCAGATCACACATCAAGACCTTCCTCTTTGACCGTGCCTATCGTCACCTCCCCACTCCCTTCGCCAGCTCGAACTGGGGGTCAGGAGAAGGAGGGGTGGAGGGAGGGGAGGGTTGGGGCTAGGAGACTGGTCAAAGAGGAAGGTCTTGATACTGGCCTTGCAGGAGTCAAGGGAGGTGGGCGAGGCGGAGGGACTGTGGGATGGAGGTCCAAAGGATGGAGGGGTGGGGGAGAGGCTGAAGGCCTGAAGGGCACCAGACATCTCAGTGTCAAGATTACTCCAGCCACATGCAAGAGGAATGCTTTCTCACAGGGTGAGAGTGAAGTCCCTCTCCCCTTCCCACAACGAGGTGATTTACTGTTAACCATTCCCTGAGGTCAGGCCACTGCGCTGGGGCCTCCCCACATGTCATTGTGGCTTCTCAATACCTTTTTTTTAAAAATGTGTATGATTAGTAGCTCAACCTCCAGCGTGAACAAACTGGCCTGAACTAAGCTGACACCTGCCGGTCAATCCATCAGTCAGTCAGTTAACTACAGTGGAGTCCTGTAGCTCAGTGGTTGGAGCGCTCGCCTCGCAAGTGAGAGGACCTGGGTTCAATTCCCAGGCTGGCTGTAACCTTAGGCAAGTTTCCTCACTCCACACACCTCTATTTACCTAGTCGCAAGTAAGGACCCGGTTATTAGTCAATTGACGGATCACTTTCCGGGGATAATAATCCCTCCAAAAAAATGTGGTCACTCAACGCATAATTGTTCGGATCGATCAGTTATCAAGAGTTTATTGTATATTATATTGTTCATTTATTATAATTTTATGTTATTATATTATTACCAGAGGATCTCACGCTGCTGTTATACACAGAATTCCACTCCTGATAACTCGCTGTTGAACCCTGTTCAAGGATTATTATTACTTTTATAAATATATATAATTATACTATAAATACAAGGATTGTTACTATTATTGTTGTGTAATTACCTTTCCCGTCGACGTTTCGACCCAAAATATACAGTCAATGCACTTTACGGTATATCCTTGTGAAGCGCTTTGAGACGCCTCGAAGACGTGATAAGGTGCTGTATCAAATACAAGGATTATCATCATTTGTATTATCATACCCGGAAACCGATCCGCCAGTCGACTAACAACCGGGTTCCTACTTACTGTTCGGTAAACAGAAGCGTGTGTGTGGAGTAAGGACACTTCTCTGCCCGGGAATCGAACCCAGGTCCTCTCGCTTGCGAGGCGAGTGCTCTAACCCCTGAGCTACAGGTGTCAGTTGTGTGGTCTGCTGTTGCTGTGGGGTTGGTACCTGATTGTGAGATGATGGCCAGCCTGGAGGTGTAGGTGGGGATGAATCGCAGGAAGAGGGGATCGATGTGAACTTGCAGTGGGCTGATGGCTCTCATCATGCGAAGGTCGTACACCATGAGGAAACGGTCGCAGGACAGGCCGTTCATGCGGTTAGAGAAGCCACAGGACACCAGAAGGTTCCCATGGACGTCAAGGTCAGACAGGCTGCCTGAGTAGGCATCAAACTCGTGCTCCAACTTAAAGGTCCTCAGATCCCGCAGAGATACCTAAAGAGGAGACATTGGGGAGAGGTGGTTCATAAGAACATAGGAACTTGCCAGATGAAAGACCGAGGTCCATCCAGTTCACCTTCCACCATCTTGGCAGTCGCTTGACATGTGTCTCCAAAATGTAATAATAATAATAATCCTTGCATTTGATACAGCGCCTTATCACGTTGTTGAGTCGTCTCAAAGCGCTTCACAGAATATAATGTAAAGTGCAGTGACTGTATTTTGTGGGTAAAACTCGGCAGCCAATTGCGCACAGCAGCGTCCCCACAAACAGTCGTGCATTTTTTGAGGAATTATTACCCGCGGGAAAGCGATCCGCTAATCAACCAGCAACCGGGTTCCCACTTGCTGCTAGGTAAACAGAGGCGTGTGGAGTGCGGAAACTTGCCCAACATTTCGCCCTGCCGGGGATTGAACCCAGTCTCTCACTTGCGAGGCGAGGGCTCTAACCACTGAGCTACAGGAATCCACTATACTGTATTCTCAGATATTATTTTCTAGCAGAAATCTATAATAATAATCTCATTTGCCTGTCTTGCTAGGGAACTTGTTCCATATGTTTACTGCTCGCTCACTGAAGGATTGTTTCTGAGATTTGTTCTGAATTTACCCCCCCTTCAATCTATTCTCGAACAATACATTCTGAGCTCACGTACTCCTTACATATGATACAGCGCCTTATCACATCATTGAGACATCTCAAAGCACTTCACCTCCCCGCCCCCCACTCCCCCTCGCTGTCGCTGTGTAGTTACCTTTCCTGACGAGTGGCCACAAAAGAAGAAGCGGTTGGACTGTCGTATGATGGTGACTCCAGGAACCTCCACTGAGTACTGCAAACACAGACGTCAGTCAGTCAGTCAGTCAGTCACCGACCGACTGCTACAATGCAATAGGTGCAGTTCCTTTCAAAGCGGGAGGGTGTTCCGTTATTAACTGTATCTCGCCTCCTGTAACCCCTCCCCATATCTTTCAACAAACAACAGCAGCAACTTGCATTTATATAATAATAAGACAGGGTCAAGTTATCAGTAGTTATATATAATTTATAATAATCTTTGCATTTGCTATAGCACTTTAACGCGTCGTCGAGACGTCTCAAAGTGCTTCACACAATATACCGTAAAGTGAATCGACTGCATATTTTGCCCCTCATGCAAGTTCGGCTCCCGGAGTGCTTTAATACCAGCCTGATTCACGTCCCCACCCCTCACCATAGGCGGGCGAGTTTTCAGCCATTCTGCCGCTGCTCTCTGCAATTCTATCCTGGAGACTCTCTCCTCCCCACCGCTGGAATCCGTCCTTTTGACTGCTCTTTCTTTAATAATAATAAAAATCCCTGCATTTGATACAGCTGCTTATCACGTCTTCGAGACGTCTCAAAGCGCTTCATAAAATATACTGCAAAGTGAATTGACTGTATACTTGGTGGGTGAAATGCGTCGCACAGCAGTACCCCACAAACAGTCGTGGGTTGAGAGACCAAATTATTATTATTTTTTGTTTGTAAGGGATTATTACTTCCAGAAAGGAATCCGTCAATCGACTAACAACTGGGTTCCTACTTACTGCTAGGTAAACAGAGACGTGTGGAGTAAGGAAACCTGCCTAAGGTTTCGACCCGTCCGGGAATCGAACCCGGGTTCCCTCAATTGCGAGGCGAGTGCTCTAACCACTGAGCTACAGGACTGTAACTTGGACCCTTTACCTTCTGACTCTCCTGAACCGTATTTAAATCCACTTCAATAACGTGGTTCTGAAGGCCACCCAACAACACACTGTTATTCTCGGTCAGCATCAGCAAACTGTGCATGTCCTCAGCCTCATCCATCCTGAGAGAGAGAGAGGTGGGAGCGAGGGGGGAGACAGACAGAGAGCGGGAGAAAGAGGGGGGGGGGGGGGAGAGAGACAGGGAGGGAGCGAGAGAAAGAGAGGGGGAGAGAGAGAAAGCGGGAGAGAGGGAGGGGGGAGAGGAAGAGAACGGAGGGGGGAGAGGGGGGAGAGAGAGTGAGAGGGTCGTATCAGGAGAGAGAGAGGGAGGGAGATGGAGACAGAGATAAAGGAGAAGAGAGAGAGAGGGAGAGACGGGCAGAGCGAGAGAGGTGGAGAGAGAGGAAGAGAATCAGAAAGACCATTGTTGCAAGCTTTTATCACATTGTCTCAAATCATTGATAGCCAAGTGCAGTGACTGTTTTTGTTGGCCAATATGACAGCCACGTCGCACACAGCAAACCTGTCCGGCACATTACAGTACTGTATCCCTCGGCAAATGGGTGGGGGGCGCGGGGAGAGAGAGGAGGGGAGGGCGGGGTGGAGAAGCGAGAAAGGAGATCCACTGCCAAATAGGGATTGGGTTGTTTGAAGGCACGGCCTCTAATGGTGGAGCAGAGGGTTTGGGAGATGTGCAGATGGCCTGAGCTGGCCAAGCGAAAGGCGATGGGTGCGAGCAAGTCAGAGTTGAGAGGTGTCAGGACACAAAGTGATTCACAGGCGAATGTGAGGATCTTGAAATTAATGTGTTCCGAGATAGTAATAATAATAATAATAATTATTATTATCAATTTGATACAGCGCCTTATCACGTCTTCGAGACGTCTCAAAATGCTTCACAGAATATTCTGTAAAGTGTAGTGACTGTATATTTTGTGGGCGAAATGCGGCAGCCACAGCGTCCCCACAAACAGTCGTGGATTGAAGTGACTAATTTATTCCATTTTTTTTTGCGGGATTAGAGATCCAGGTGAGTCAGGCGATGACTGAGGATGGTACGAGTGAACATCTGACTGTTCATAGAGAATATTAATTTGGGAGTTGTGTCCTGTACCTCAGTGGTTAGAGCACTCGCCTCGCAAGCGAGAGGACCTGGGTTTGATTCCCAGGCCGGGCGAAATGTTGGGCAAGTTTCCTTAGTCCACACAACACTGTTTACCCAGCAGTGACTAGGAACCTGGTTGTTAGTCGATTAGTGGATCTCTTTTCCGGTGTTAATAATCCCTTTTTAATAAAATTAAATAATAAAAATAATAATTTGGTCGCTGAATCCACAGCTGTTTGTGGGGACGCTGCTGTGCGCAATTGGCTGCCGCGTTTGGCCCACAAAATACACAGTCGATTCACTTTACAGTGTATCCTGTGAAGCGCTTTGAGACGTCTCGAAGTCGTGATAAGGCGCTGTGTCAAATGCGGGGATTATTATTATTATAACTTACACATAGTCGAACATGATGAGGCCACCCCGGGTGAAGCACTTGAGGTTGTTCTTGTTGAGGAACAGCACGCCGCTCTCGATGCTCTGTACCTGACGCACCTCCTCGGTGCTGTTGACCTGGAACGAGGAGAACCTCTCCATCGTGGGGCCGAAGAAGGAAGTGGCGTGGCCCTGCGCAGGAAGGAGTTAAAGCAAATGGGGAGCAACTCATTAAATGGTCACACGCACACACAAGAGACACACACATCAGAGAGACACACACGCACAAGAGACACACACACGACACACACAACACACATAAGACACACACACGCATGTGAGATACACACGCACATACGAGATACACATACGTCTGTGCTGCACACATGCACCCATGAGAGATACACATACACACACGTGCACTCACACATGAGATACACACACTCACGAGATATACACACGAGACACACATGGGAGCGCATCCATGAGATACACACACGTGTGACACACACACACGCGACAAACACACACACGAGACACACATTCACGCGACACACACACACGCATCAATGAGATACACGAATACAAGAGACACACACACACATGAACACAAAAGACAGACACACACATGACGGACAGGCACGAGACACACACACATGAAACACACACACACTTGCACAAGAGACACACATATACGAGACATATAGCCGTGAGACACACGCACACACACAAGAGAGAGCGAGAGAGAGCCTCAGACTGACGCACTCACCCCATGGTTTCCCACCCAAAGCAGCTCGTCCTGAAGGTCAAAGTGTGCGGCGGTGATGGGAACCCCCACCTCGGCTGCCACCCTGTGGGCCTCGGAGTACATGCCATCCACCAGGTGCAGCGAATCGGGCACCGTCATGGCATCCAGCCTCACGCCCTCGGCCTCCAGCTCCACGCTCTGCAGCAGGGCGGGGTCCAGGGGGGCGGGTAATCCCCCAGCCCCGGCTCCAGACCCTCGAAGTTCATGGCTCCGTCTGCAGCGACAGACAACTTACAGTAAATGTGGTCACTCAATTCACGACACACCCCTCCCCCCCCCACCCACCCAGGCTCGGAGTCGTGCTCCGCCACTGTCATGCGCTCTGGAGCGCTATCCTGCCTGAGGGGCGCTGTGTAAACGTAAGTTGTTGTTGTTGACCGTTCGTGGGACAATGCTGTGGGGGTAACAATCCTGCCAGAAAAAGTTACTCAATCCACGGCTGTGTGTGGGGACGCTGCTGTGCGCAATTGGCTGCTGCGTTTCGCCCACAAATTACGCAGTCACTACACTTTACAGTATATTCTGTGAAGCGCTTTGAGACGTCTCGACCACGTGATAAGGCGCTGTGTCAAATGCCAGGATTATTGTATACATATTGTATTGTGTACGTATTATTGTACACGTATACAACTCCTGATAACTTGACCCTGACTTAACCAGTCACTACCGCTCAAATCATCGCACTGTCAATATCCCGACCGCATTCATTTATGTATTTATACACACGTCTAATTCACCACTCCTGATAATTCAACACTGAGACCTGTTCCTTCGGAGCGACGAGTTATCAGGTGTTTACTGCACATTATATTGCTATTTTATATTATTATTTAACATTAATATTCAATTTGATAAGGTTCCACATAATAGACTAGTTAGAAAAATTGAAGCCCATGGGATAAAGGGGACAGTGGCAGCGTGGATCGGAGTTTGGTTGGGAGACAGAAAGTGGTGAATGGTTGTTTCTCAGACTGGAGGGAAGTATAAAGTGGTGTCTCCCAGGGATCGGTATTAGGTCCTCAGAATTAGGTCTGTCTGATGTGAACGACGCTATACAAGTGTAATTTGTTGTTGTTGTTCTTTTTGATATGTGTGAATGACTTGGACTCGGATATGGAGAACAACATTTTAAAGTTTGCAGATGACACAAAACTTGGGAACGTGGTAAACGATGGTAGCAGAGAGCGGGAGGACACAGACAGACTGGTGAAACGGGCAGACACATGGCCGATTAGGTTTAATGTGATGTATTTGGGGTGGAAGAACGAGAAGAGGTAATATACACTAAATTATACTGTTTTAAAAGGGGTTCAGGAGCAGAGATCTGGAGGTTCACACACACAGGTCTTTGATGGTGGTAACAGGTTGATAGAGCTGTTAAAAAAAAAAGTATTTGGGATCCCCGGCTTTATAAATAGAGGCATAGAGTACAAAAGCAGGGAAGTTCTGCTGAACCTTTACACGTCACTGGTTAGGCCACAGCTGATGTATTGTGTCCTATTCTGGGCACCACACAATAGAAAGGATGTCAAGGCCTTGGAAAGGGCAGAGATTTACCAGAATAGGACCAGAATGAGGGACTTTAGGTATCTGGAGAGACCAGAGAAGCTGAGGTTGTTCTCCTTAGAGCAGGGGTTTAATAGAGGTGTTCAAAATTATGAGAGGTTTTGATGAGAGTGGAGAGGGAGGAGCCGTTTCCACTGGCAGGTGGGACTGCAGCCCGAAGACATGGATTCAAGATAATCGGCAAAAGAACCAGAGGGGAGATGCGATGAGGAGAATTTTTTTTACAGAGAGCTGTTACGGTCTGGAATGCACCGCCTGAAAGGGTGATGGAAACAGACTCAGTAATAACTTTCAAAAGGCAATGGATGGGTACTTGAAGAGGATAAACCTGCAAGGATGTGGGGAAATAGCAGGGGAGTGGGACTAGTTGGCAGCTCTTCCAAAGAGCCGGCACAGGTACGATGGGCTGAATGGCCTCCTTCTGTGCTGTAATGTGCTATGAATCTATATGATTACCAGGGATCTTATTTACCAATTAAGTACAGAATTTCACTCCTCCTAACTCGCCACTGAACCTTCCCCGTAATAAAATAATAATAATATTGTTTGTGGGGACGCTGCTGTGCGCAATTGGCTGCCGAGTTTCACCCACAAAACTCACAATCACTACACTTTACAGTATGTTTTGTGAAACATTTTGAGACGTCTCGAAGACGTGATAACGCACTATCAAACGCAAAGATTATTATTGTATTATTAGTAGGTTATTACTATATTTTATTATACTATAATTATATTATATTACTATTATATTATAGTATATATTATTATATAATTATATTATATATTATTATATATTGTTATATTACTGTATTATTATATATTATATTAATTACAAATATTATTATATATTATTATTATTATATATTTAATTATAACCTGGGAATCTCAAGTGTGGGGAGGGGGGTGTGGGGGGGTGTGGGAAGGGGGGGGTGGAGGGGGGAGGGGGTGTGAGGAGGGGTGGGGA